TGTCAATACTTCTGATAAAGCTTAAGTTCATCACCAAGAACAGGTCTTTAAATTATGTTAATGAAGATTCTGTGCCAACTTTCACACACTGGAGTTTCTTCAGTCAGTCAACTTTCACCACGCTGTAAATTTTGGTCACAAACCAAAAGCATGCAAAGAATCCAATTGTCCCTATTAAAAAAAAAAAAAGTTTTTCAAAGAGCAGATTCACAAACATGGAAATGTACACGTAGACAGAATTCTTCTTTCAAAACAATGAGTTACACATTAGTACAACTAGTATAGAAATTAGAAACTCACTCTCTGTGTAGAATCAAATGACATTTTTCTGTTGACCAGGATATAAGTTTAGGACTACATATTACCTTCCACAGCTGATCGCCTACCAGTGTCAATGGAAAGTTTGCATAAAGATAGAATATGGTATTTATATAGTAACTGAACTTTAATCGAAATTTTATTTATTAATGCTTCATTATGTTCAGCATCACTCAGTGGAAGAACATACTCACCTTTAAGACCAGAGCTATTTCTGTTCTTTGTTTCTCTTTTCTTCCCCTCCCACCCCCCACATCCCCACCACAATCAAATGCTAGAAAGATTTTTTTAAATGAAAGGAGAGGTTATTCACCTTGGGCAATAACTGGAGTTTGAGATGTGTGTCCCTGTGAGTGCTCCACTTCAGGTGCACATGCACCGAAGCCTTTGATCACAGATTTTTGGTAGCAATGGCCGTTTGGCCCACACATCCTTGTGCCCCACACACAGGCTTCATAGGGCTGCATGGGCGAATCGCCCTCAGTTCCTTCCCTACCACTAAGACCCATAGTAGGAAACACCTAAGCAGAGAGGAAGGAGGGCAGGTAGCAGAGCCCCTACAGAGGGATACATCTCAAAGAACTTGTTATTACACAAGGTGAGTTGTAAGGTCTGAGGCCTCTTTCTGCAGTAAAAGCAGCAGCCAGAGTGAGAAACAGCAGCCATGTACTGAGCTGCAGAGTCCCAGCCTCACATTCCATCTATTGCACCAAAACAATGGCCTATCAGGCTGTTAAGGAGGCAAGCCTGTCCCTACAGAACCTACCATCATCAGATAAAGTCACAGATCTTAAGATGTTTAAAGGAAACTTTGCTAATATTTTGTCTGGCAAGAAACCACTTAACAGCTGTGATTGTGAAATCTATATTGTTTTGCCTTTATGGTCCCTACTTCTCTATCTGGACCATCTGTCTGATTCTTTATTGTTTGTCTGTTGCATAATTAATTTTTCAAAATTTAAATCAACTAAGGTGGTGGGGCCTGATTATGGTTAAAGAATTGTTTTGTAATGGGCTAGGATTGGTGAAAAACACTGTTTTGTAGCACTTCCGTTTAAAATGATTAGTTAGGGAAAACTAAGCAGGACCCAAATTTTAACTCCCATATATACTCAATCATAACCTGGTTCATTTATAAGCCGACCCCCCCACGATGGATAAGTAAAAATGGAAAATTTTTATGACCCGTTCATAAGCCGACCCTATAATTCAGGGGTCGGCAAACTTTGGCTCCTGGGCCATGAGGATAAGTCGCTGGTGGGCCGACATGGTTTGTTTACCTCGAGCGTCTGCAAACACGAAGGTAAACCTAAGTAAACATAGTGTCCCGGCGTGCCAGCTGCTTACCCTGATGGGCTGGTACAGCAACTAGTGGGGAAATTTTTTTGGGGAGAGAAGCAGGGGGGTCAGGGGAGTAACCCCCTGTGACCACCTCCCACATGACCCCACCCCTAGCCCGGGACCCCCACACACTCCCCATCCTATCCCTTCCCACCTTATCTGAGGGAAGATGTCTCTGGCCTGGCTGGAGCTGCTCCGGCAGGCTGGGCAGCGCGACCGTAGCCTGATCCAGCAGGCCAGACCAGACGGCGTGGCCGCAGCATGTTCCAGCGGGCTGGGATGGGCAGCATGGCCGCAGCCTGCTCCGGCGCCCGGGTGGCGCGGCCACAGCCTGCTCTGGGGGGCGGGGCTGAGCGGCACAGCTGCAGCCTGCCAGCCCCAGAGCTGCAGCTGCTTCGGAGGCTGGGGGGAGAGCAGCGTGGCCAGAAGCGGAGAGACTCTGGCCCCATCTCTTGCCTTCTGGCTGTGCTGCCTCTCCTTGCTACCTCTGTTGGGGGGAGGGGCTGTGTCCCACCTCTCCTCTCTATACCCGTTCATAAGCCGACCCCCTTCTCTGGTGCTTCCCTTTTTTACTAAAAAAATTTGGCTTATGAACGAGTATATACGGTATATAAACTGGGGTCCAAAGGGAAGTTATTTGGAACCTAACACCAGGGCACAGCCCAGGATCAGAGCTGCCAGACACCCTGCTGATCATACTGTGCAGAAGCTGGAGCTCTGGATGACCTAATCTTGACAGGCCATCAAGAAAAGTTCATCTGCCTTATTGGGAGTGGTGAGCATTATATGCTTAGCATGCGTATTGTTTTGGTAACTGTTAATAAATAGAGGTTAAGGATATTACTGTATAAGGCTCTTTCACTGGTAAAAGGCCCCACAGACCAGTACAGCCCTAAGTCCACTGGGAATGGGTGTTAGCCCTGAGCCACCAGGAATGGGTGTTAGCCCACGGAAGGATAGAGTTGCTTCCCTTATTTCCTTAGTACCCAAAGGGGTGTGTGCAAGAACCCTAAATTGTGTGGGTGACAGAGTAACCTCTCCTCCTCTGTTTAGTGTCCCTGTGGGTGCTCCACTTCAGGTGACCCCCCCAACAGTGACCCCCTTAAGGAGGTGGGAGGTTCAGAACAGAGTCCAGCACTGAAGAGAACTGTGTTGCCTTCTTGCAGCCTCCAATCTAGCAGTGTGAACCAAAGCATAATGCCTGGAAAAAGTATGCACTGAAATCCACATTGCAGCTTTGCAGATCTCAGCAAGTGGAACATCCTTGAGTAGACTGTGATCTAGCAGATAGAATGTGCAGTCACTCACATGGGAGGGTGGGCATAAGCCAAACCATAACAGGTAATATATACAGAGATCCATGTAGAGAACGTCTTTTCATGATCCCCTAGACCAGGGGTGGGCAAACTACGGCCCGCGGGCCGAATCCGGCCCTTGATCTCCCGCTGGGGAGCAGGGTCTGGGGCTTGCCCCGCTCCAGCCGGGGAGCAAGATCAGGGGCTGCTCCACGCGGCTCCTGGAAGCAGCAGCAGCATGGCCTCCCCTCCAGCACCTATGCATAGGGCTGGGGCAGTGTGCAAAGCGGAGCCCCCTGGCTGCCCCTAAGTGCCACCCCTGCATCTCCCGGGAACTGCAGCCAATGGGAGCTGCAGGGGCGGTGCCTGCGGACAGGACAGCACACAGAGCTGCCCGGCCACACTTCAGTTTAGGAGCCAGAGAAGGGACATGCCGCTGCTTCCAGGAGCCACTTGAGGTAAGCGCTGCCTGGACCCTGCACCCCTGAGCCTCCCCCTGCACCCCAACTCTCTGCCCCAGCCCTGATCCCCCTCTAAACCCAGCCCAGAGCACCCTCCTGAACCACAAACCTCTCATCTCCAGCCTGCACCCCCAGCCGGAGCCCTCACACCCCTGCCATGCCCCAACCCCCTTCCGCAGCTCTGATCCCCCTCCCACCCTCCAAACCCCTCAGTCCCAGCCCGGAGCCCCCTCCTGTACCCTGAACTCCTCATTTAAGGCCACACCCCAACCTCAATTTTGCGAGTATTCATGGCCTGCCATACAATTTCTATTCCCAGATGTGGTAGTCCTATTTTGATACCAGCACCTGGTGATTTGCTATCCTGAAACGTAATGTCCACGAAGACTAGTTTTTATGTCCGAAAAGATCCAGACACTTCCGGTCCTTGTTACATGGGGTAGCTTTTTGAATATGCTCTCTCCCCCTTTCATTAACTGCGTCCACAACCAGAGAATTTGGTGCCGGATGTGAAAACAAAGTTTTGGAATCCCTGGCCAGAATGTAGGAGTTTTTTTTTTTTTAAATCAGCATGCTTGCATGTACAGATTGCTGTTGCTGGAGTTTGCCAGCTAGCTCAAGAAGAGCTTCTTTAATCAGCAGTGCCACCCATGCTGAAGTGGAGGTATGCAATATAAAGAACAGATTAGACAAATACCTATCAGGGATGATCTAGATAATATTTAGTCTGGCTTTGAGTGCAGGGGACTAGACTAGAAGACCTCTCAAGGTCCCTTTCAATCCTATGATTCTATAAATACTTCAAGGGATTTATGATAGGAATCCTGGACTTCTTCCAGAGGAATCTGAAGTGTGTCCGCGACTTGCCTCATCAGGTCCTGGAATTGCCACAAGTCATCAGCTAATGACGACGGTAGTGGCATTACTGCCTCCTCCTTGCCTCTGCTGATTCAGAGTGGAGGGAAGGAATGGATGGTACCAGGGAATGAGGTCTTATGTTCTTTATGAGATTCCACTGGGTACCCTCAAAACTGCTGGTAATACATTGCCCATGGATCCCAATAAGGCAAAGGAGGAGGACCATAAGCCATGACAGAGAGGTAGCAATTGTTGGTCATCCCAAGTTTTAAGAGGCAGAGGTCTTGTAATCTTGCCTTTCTTGCATCTGCAGAGGAGAATCATGTCTCCTGGAATAAACTAGAGCACCTTGAACTGAAAGCTCTGAGTCCAAATGCTCCTTTATGTATTGTACAGAGGTGACAACCCTTCTTCCTGAATGGTAAAAGCTAGAGAAGTGGTGGGTCTCACTACAACATGAGCAGTCAGTGATCCAGCAGATCTTGGTATGGAGAGGTGTCTGGAGGGGTAGACTTAGGCTCCTTCAGTATCATGAGGTCTTTAAGATACGGGAACTCCTGCAATACTGGGAGCATGAGGCCTCAAGCTTGCTCCTGATGCTGCTGTTCGAGGCAGTGGTGCCGGTACCAAGGGTACCACAAATTCCAATGTGGCCGCTCCCTTGATGGTGGCAGTAGTGGTCTTCGGTACCACACCCTTTACCACCAAGGTATGGGACTTAGATAAAGTCTTAGATTGCTTCATGATACCCAAAGTATTCGGCGCCTCAATAGCACTCTTCTTAGGGCCTGAGGTCTCCTGTACTGAATCTTCTTTGAGGAACTCTGCTCTGGTCTTCTTGTCCTCCTCCATCTTTGAGTGAGAAGCTCTAAGTACCACTGGCATGGTTATAGGTATTTCACCCATGGAGAGTGTTGGAGATTGGGATCTTGACACTGCTTTCACCTTGGAAGCGCTTTGTGATTGTGATCTTATTGTAGAAGAGGCACTAACAGAAGCAGAGGGTCTCTTGGAGAGGGGGTTCTCTTTCCCCAGATCCAAAGCTGGTCATAAGGCTTGCTCTGTCATCAATAGTGCATACTTAATTCCCCTGGTTTTAAGAGATCTTCCCTTAAACGAAGTGCAAATCTTGCACTTGCTGGGAATACGCGAGTCTCCCAAGCAACGTATTTGTGAAGAATGCCCATTGCTGACAGGAATGGCTTCTTGACATTGGAGACACCTTTTAAAACCCAAGTAGCTTGACATCCCAGATCCAAGAAACAATTTTAGACCCCCTAAATTGGGGAGAGGGGAGACAACTGTTCCAACAACTAAAATAGTATATAGGGTTAGTTCTTATGTACTGTATAACTCTAAACAGAGAAAACAGGCACACACGAAATTCCGTGTCTGTCTGAAGGCTGTTGAAAGGAATTGAGGGTGGTTCACCCAAAGAGCTCTATATAGCCTCCATAGGGGGCACGAGGATGTGTAGGACACATGCATGGTCCGAATGGGCACTGCTACCAAAAAATCTCCAATCAAAAGACACAGAGTGCATTTGTGCCTGAAGTAGTATCCCTCTGGGCATTCCACTTGAAGAAGCAGGTTAGGTTCTGCAGAATTTAAATATGCCATGCAGGACACGAACATCAAGCAGGGTGGATTTTTACACTACTGAATATAAATAAAGATTATTTACAAAAAATTTAACTGACACCTACTTCTTGAGTGCACTTAAGGATTTCATAGCTCATTGTTTAACGTCTGTAGTTCAAAAGGTGGCTTGGATTTTTCAATACTATAGTTCAGAATTTAAGTTTAACTGCTCTTCTGTTAAGGTTATAATGTTAAAAATGTTCAGAGACACTGAAGACTAAAAAGGCACCCAAAAGTCACAGGTATAGTCCTGTTTAAGCAAGTTACAAGTTTATGTAATTTCAGTATTTGCCAAAGTTGCTATGGTAAAAATATTTTCATGCCCCAGGCTTTAACAAATATAGTTTTTTAAAGATAGTTTAATCATACAGTCAAAGAGGTTTGAAATTTGAACTGAAGTTTAAAGACAAAGATTACTTCCTTGATTTCTCGGAGACGGCTCTTTCATTTGAAATTGAGAATAGTTCTGTCCACCCTTTTTTGGTGAGGTGTGATAGATGTACCAAAAATATACTGTTGGGCACAAAAGCTGTGCTGATGAAGTTACACTGACCACCTTAACATTCAGAGGGGTAGCCGTGTTAGTCTGAATCTGTAAAAAGCAACAGAGGGTCCTGTGGCACCTTTGAGA